GACAGGTAGAAATAGAAGGAGTGATGATGAATGTTGTCAGTGGTTATGCCCCACAGGTGGGTTGTGAGTTGGAAGAAAAGGAGAAGTTCTGGAATGAGCTCGATTAGGTGATAGAGAGCATCGCCAGGAGAGAGAGAGTGGTGATCGGAGCAGACTTTTATAGAAACCTGGAAGGACAGACGGTGGTAGATTTCGCAAAGAGAAATGGCTGTGGTAAACAACTATTTCCAAAAGAAAGAGGAACACACAGTGATGTAGAAGAGTGGAGGCAGGTTTACTCAAGTGTACGCAACCATGTCACAGTGACATGCAGACAGGGTTACTACTCCATGAGGGAAATTAGGCAGCTAGCCCAGATGACCTGGGAGACAGTCGTCAGACCAATGGACAGACTTGACGACGAACCCAGAGTCTTTAGTCTCCAGGATGCAGGAAATTCCCTGTTAGACTTAGAAGGGAGTGAAGCTCCACCAGGGAGACACACCTGGAGAAACCCTGCTCCAAAACCCCATCACCAAAGTGAGTGGGGAAGGAGACAAAATAGATACAGGAACAACCATGGTCAAAACTTCAGCAACAACAATAATTACAACAACCGACCCCGTGAAAGAGGTCGTAAAGACCAAGGTGGTTGGAAACGAGACGGTTACCAACAGTCAAACAAGAGATGGTGGAAACAGTCTGAGCGTGATCCGAAGCATAGGGGTAGGCATGTTCGTTTCTGTAACTCAGACGAACTGAGTGAGCTCCACTCAGAATTGGAGTCTGTAAAGGCTCAGTTAGCTGAAATTATTGACAGGTTTAATAGAGACCAGACCCCTCTTAAAAACGAATGAACACACCAATTAAAACAAACTTTACCCTTTAGCAGTCCTCACTCCAAAAGGGGGGTGAACGATAATTTGGTCTAACCCCTGACAACTAACACTTCTTTCCTTTCCTTCATTCCTTTTCTTTTCCAATGTGAAGAAATGAAGTTAATGGGTATTTTTAAATTGTGGTACATGAACGTGTTAGTCAGGTAGTGAGTTATCATGTACCCACATGTGTATAGCATGGTATTTGCCCAAATGCCTACAGCCTGGTATTTGCCCAAATGCCCATGCCTTGAACTGTTTGTCAGGACTCAACTTCTGCTGAGATTTTACAGGACTAAATGGACAATATGGATGACAATGGATTATGGAATATGGACTGTACAACCTTGTGCTCTCAGGGTTACGACTCTGTCATATCCCTAAGACCAAAGGGGGGATATGTAGGTACTACAACAGTCCTTTCAAGGACTCAAACTCCCATAATTCCACTGCTTCCGGTAAATCCACATACGTCACGATCAGTAACCTCCGCAACCTTTAAATTGGGGGGTCAGCCCAATATCGTTCTCTCTGTTCAGGACTTTCGCTCCGTAGGACCTCGATGAAAAGAGAAAACCTGCTCGTCTCAGAAGACTAAGAACCAACGCGCTTTTGTAGACACCATTGCCCACGGTGATAAATGCACTAGTAGCGTCTTTTTCTTAACTGAGTTAACCGGTAATTAAGTTACACAAGTAACGTAGCGCTGCGACCAAAGCAGTTATTGAAAAGTTTAGAAGCGACAGGATTCCTTCTAACGGTATTCGTGTGAACCGGCACATCGACAGTCAGAGACTTTTCCTCCTGAAACGGACTTTCGGAACCAAGAGGACTCTCTGGACACAGTGGAACCAGACGGACGTCCCCAGCTCTGGCAAGGACCCAAGAAGCACGGACTTTCCACTACCCTCTAAATACGAGCAGACGTTCACTACAGTAAGGCTGGCATTTGGGCACGTTAGTTAATCTGTAGTATTGTTAAGTGCTATTTAAACTTAGGGACAGTTTAAGTACGCATATTGAATTTTGTTGTCTGAAATCTGTGCTGCTTTTATAGCTAGGCTGTTGCATGCACTTCTTTTCTAACCTCCTGACTCGGTGTTATACTCTTGTACACCGTCAGTATTTCAGTGTTAACTTGGAACGTTATCAGTATTGGGATCAGGAAAACTCCGACAAAGTCCTTTGTCTGGAGTAGACCACGCGGTACGCCTCCCTTCCCCCATATACTTTGATAACATCACAAGCACTGTTTCATTGTACCTGAGCGCATCTTGGTGCGCGTACACAACACCCATTCACACCTCCGTGAGCGCATACACGCCTCACGTGTTTCCTGTTGCCGTTCCTTCTACCTCGCAGTTCTTCTTCCACTGCGCAGTCGCGTATGTGAACACGCCTCAAGGGCTCAGTCGCTTGCTTGGTAGCTAAGAGGCAACGTCTCTCTCTCTCGTACACGACCACTCGTGTACACACGCACATAAGTACACACACACAGACACACACACCTACACACGCCTTGTTTTGTTATAATGATCATTGTTTATGAGTTCAATCACCGTCATTAACTTGACAGTGTTGTATAAATAAATTTGATTATTTTTGTAAACTGTGTTTGTCTGTGTTGTTACTTTATTCATTGAAGCCACCCAATTTGCCAAGAACTCTCAAAATCCTTCAGATATTTAATTGTTATTGGATACTATTGATTTTAGTATATTTGTAATACTTCAAGTAATACATTATTGCTATATTAGTAGGTTAAAATAATAATTAAAGATAACTTTAATGAGACTGGTTGTGTTATTAATTTGAGACTGGTTGATAACACCGAGTGCTCCTAAGTAGCACTCGACCCATTGCACCTACAGAGTGTAGCCAAACAACATCGGATGGTAGTGTGCAAAATGACGATGGAGGTGAAAAAAGGAAGATAGTGAAGACAGAGCAGAAGACAGAGCAGAAGATCGAAGTGGTGGAAATAAGGAAATGTTGTGAAGACTTCAGGAAGGAAGTAAGTGCAGTTCTGGGCCGTGTTGAGAAATTCAGATGAAAACCAGATGATTGGGAGACTACAGCTACAGTGATTAGGGAGACAGGTAGGAAGGTGCTAGGTATGTCCTCTGGGCAGAGAAAGGAGGACAAAGAGACCTGGTGGTGGAATGATGAGATCCAGGAGAGTGTGCAGAGAAAGAGATTAGCGAAGAAGAGATGGGACAGTGACAGAACAGAAGAGAACAGACTGGAGTACAAAGAGAGGACAAGGGAGGTGAAGAGGGAAGTGGCCAAGGCCAAACAAAAGGCATATGAGGAGTTGTATGAGAGTTTGGAAACAAAGGAAGGAGAAAAGGAGTTGTATAGATTGGCGAGACAGAGAAATCAAGCTGGGAAGGATGTGCAGCAGGTGAGGTTGATTAAGGACAGAGAGGGGAATGTGATCACAAGTGAGGAAAGTGTGCTGAGAAGATGGAAGGAATACTTTGAGGAGTTGTTAAATGAGGAAAATGAAAGGGAAAGTAGAAACGAGGAGCCAGAGACTAGTAGGAAGAAGGTAGATCAGGTTAGAAAGGATGAAGTTAGAAAAGCCCTGAAGAGGATGAAGAGTGGAAAGTCAGTTGGTCCTGATGACATACCAGTGGAAGTATGGAAGTGTTTAGGAGAAGTGGCAGTAAATTTCCTGACTGGTTTGTTTAACAGAATTTTAGAGACTGGCAAGATGCCTGATGAGTGGAGAAAAAGTGTTCTGGTGCCAATTCATAAGAAGGGTGATGCACAGAGTTGTAACAACTACAGAGGGATAAAGTTGATGAGCCATACAATGAAGATTTGGGAACGAGTAGTTGAAGCTAGGTTGAGGCAGGAAGTGGAGATTTGTGAACAACAGTATGGTTTCATGCCTAGGAAGAGTACCACAGATGCAATATTTGCCTTGAGGATGTTGATGGAGAAGTACAGGGAAGGTCAGAAGGAGCTGCATTGTGTATTTGTAGATCTAGAAAAGGCATATGACAAAGTGCCAAGGGAGGAATTGTGGTTTTGTATGAGGAAGTCAGGAGTGGCAGAGAAGTATGTTAGTTTGGTGCAGGACATGTATGAGAATAGTACAACAGTAGTGAGGTGCGCTGTTGGGAGGACAGAAGACTTCAAAGTGGAGGTGGGACTACATCAAGGATCGGCCCTGAGCCCCTTCTTGTTTGCTGTGGTGATGGACAGATTGACAGATGAGGTCAGACAGGAGTCCCCATGGACTATGATGTTTGCAGATGACATTGTGATCTGTAGTGAGAGTAGGCAGCAGCTAGAAGAGAACCTAGAGAGGTGGAGGTTTGCACTAGAAAGAAGAGGAATGAAGGTCAGTCGCAGCAAGACAGAGTACATGTGTGTAAACGAAAGGCAGAACAGTGAAATAGTGAGGCTACAAGGAGCAGAGGTGGTGAAGGTGCAGGAGTTTAGGTACTTAGGATCAACTGTTCAGAGCAGCGGAGACTGTGGAAGAGAGGTGAAGAATAGAGTACAGGCAGGATGGAACAGCTGGAGAAAAGTGTCAGGAGTGATCGGTGGCAGAAGAGTGTCAGCTAAGGTGAAGGGAAAGGTTTACAGGACAGTGGTGAGACCAGCCATGATGTATGGTTTAGAGACAGTAGCAATAGGCAGAAGACAGGAGGAGGAGCTGGAGGTGGCAGAGTTAAAGATGCTAAGATTCTCTTTAGGAGTGACAAGAATGGACAGGGTCAGGAATGAGGTCATTAGAGGGACAACACAGACAGGAAGGTTTGGAGAAAAAGCTAGAGAAGCCAGATTGAGATGGTTTGGACATGTGCAGAGGAGGGACAGTGGATGCATTGGTAGAAGAATGTTAGAGATGGAGCTACCAGGTAGGAGAAAGAGAGGAAGACCAAAGAGGAGATATATGGATGTAGTGAGGGAGGACATGCAGATAGTTGGAGTCAGAGTAGAAGATACAAAGAACAGGGAGAGATGGAAATCAATGATTTGCTGTGGCAACCCCTGAAAAGAAAAAGAAGAAGAAGCACACCTGCCTAGGAAGCAGAGAGTCCTGTTCAATTCCCAATGTTCAGGATCCACATGCTTGGCGCAATATAGTACACATTTATTTATTATCTGAATCTAATTGTGTCTCAGGTCAGGCAGCATGGATCTGGAGCTGCTCCCTTCCCCAGCAGACAGCTCGGTTCCAGCCAATCGCAGAGGAAGTTCAGCATCAGCAGGTCAAAGTGAGTGGAAGTTCTTCCTGCACAGATAAAAACTGGAGAGACGTGGTCAACGTCAGTGATGTTTAAATCATCGTGTTGCTCTGCTCCTCCAAGGTCCGGTCACCTTTACTCTACCAGAGCATGTGATACGAAAGACAGACCACTTCCTCTTCTCCTACCCATGGTTCCATGGGCCCATCTCTCGAGTCAAAGCAGCCCAACTGGTCTCTGACTCTGGACCAGAGGGACACGGAGTGTTTCTGGTGCGACAGAGTGAGACACGCAGGGGAGACCATGTCCTCACATTTAACTACCAGGGAAAAGCAAAGGTTTGTCTCTGAATATTTAAGCCTTGCAGCTAAAAGATCACTGACTTGTGACCAGAGTTTTCATACCCTCCCTGTGTGTTTGAGTGGGTTTTGTCTGGGTGGTCTAGTGTCCTCCCTCAGTCAGAATGTGAGTGTCCGTGACACAAGGCCAAAGTCAGGTGACATCCAGGAGGTTTTTTCAGTTTGACGGTGACCTGTTAAACAGATGTTGTTGTAAACTCTGGCGCCCTCTGTCTCTGTAGCACCTGCGTCTCTCCCTGACAGAGTGGGGTCAGTGCAGGGTCCAGCACCTGCGTTTCCCCTCTGTTATGGACATGCTCAGCCACTTCCGCCTCTTCCCCATACCTCTGGAGTGTGGAGCAGCGGGAGCAGTCACACTCTCCAGCTTCGTAGTGGCCAGCTCCAGCCCCCCATCACAGGGTGAGGCCCTGCTGCACAGCCTACTGTCAAAACCTGAATAAAATTTAAAAAATAAAATAAAAAGGTGAAGGTTAGCCTCAGGGTTTGATTGTGAACCATTCTCCTCAGGTGCCGTCTTTGTGCCGTTCTGCCTCCACCACTGGAGCTCAGAACCCAGCCTGGCTCACTGCAGCCTGACCCGCGGCGCCAGTCACCCAAGATCATCTACCTCCATCAACACCTCATCCAATCCCAGCTCTGCGTCCCAGTCAGGAAACCACGCCCCGACCCACGCCAACCCCGTCCCAGAGACTCCTGCTCCTCCTGTCCCTCCTGCTGTCCTGCGCCGCAGTGAATCAGTGGGGAGGAGGCCTCTTCTCCGCCATCCCGCCCCTCCCATCATCCGTCAGCGTGACTCGGACTATGAGCTGGAGCCTGAGCGTGGCCGGAAGCGGGCGATAGATAACCAGTACATGTGGCTTTGACCTGCTGAGACACAAGTGTCCATCAGGGGTCACCGCACACACACACACACACAGCGATTTAAGAGCTGCAGACTCATCAGAATGAGCCCAGGGGTCTCTGTCTAAATCTCTTGGCCACGTCCCTCAGGTGTACACTGTGAATGTATTTTTGTGAGATTAAATACAATGACGATTCCTTACAAACACACACATTTGTATGTGTGTGTTTGTAAGATGGGGAGAGGGATGGAGCAGCACCTAAAGCTGTATTTCACACCAAAAAAATGACATGTTACTATTTTTAAATGTTTCAGATAAATTCAATAAGGTGAGCTTTATTTGACTTCTGGGACATTTGATCTGAGCGTCAAGTGTCAAGTGTCCCCTTTAAGACATTCTTTAAAAAAAAAGACATTTCACACTTGGTCTTCTTCAAACTGCCATATAAACATCAACAACAAACACTCCATGGTCGACTGTTTACACTTTAGATTTTTCTCATCTAACACATTGTTTTATATGAATATATATACATACATATATACACACGTATATTTATACATATATGTAGACTATGGCCTGCCGTTCAGGAAATTAATCTTTGACTATATATACAAAAAGTATGAATATATATACAACAATCCTGAATATATATACAGAAAGTCTGACTATATATACAAAAAGTCTGAATATATATACCAAAATCCTGAATATATATAAAAAAATATGAAGCGTATTTGACCACACTGTTGGTACCGGTGCGCAACTACCACCGACCAGGCGGCACAGGAGATCCCCATAAAACAGCCCCTGCATATGTCATGGTTATATTTGTAATCAAGTATTACAAGAGAAAACAGTGAATGCTGTGTAATAGAAAATGTAATAAATACGTTAAAGAGAATAAGAACAGATTACAGTCATAAAATCGTTAACGATCTAAGCTCACTGAATAACTGGGGGTAACGTCAGAGTAACGTAATGATAATTTAAGAGTGATAAAAATGTTATAATTCGTTATAAATACTTGTTTGGAAATATGTTATTATTTGATAACGCTGTCCATTGTGCCGTACGTACGTCTCCCAGAAAGGAGCAACAGTAATGCAAAGAGTGATTTATGTTAACTTTTATTTGAAGATATTTTGTTTGATAGCTGTCATATGACGTAGGGTACTGTGCTGTCTTTAAAATATAGATTTGTTCACAGGTTCCTTGTCGACTCGCGGAAAATGTGTTGTTCTGTACCGGATTTTCATTCTTTCTTCCGCGTTGCGAGTGAAGCATGGTCCGTAAAAAAAAAGAAAAAAGAAAAAAAGAGAGCGAAAAGCATATTATTTGATAACGCTGTCCATTGTGCCGTACGTACGTCTCCCAGAAAGGAGCAACAGTAATGCAAAGAGTGATTTATGTTAACTTTTATTTGAAGATATTTTGTTTGATAGCTGTCATATGACGTAGGGTACTGTGCTGTCTTTAAAATATAGATTTGTTCACAGGTTCCTTGTCGACTCGCGGAAAATGTGTTGTTCTGTACCGGATTTTCATTCTTTCTTCCGCGTTGCGAGTGAAGCATGGTCCGTAAAAAAAAAGAAAAAAGAAAAAAAGAGAGCGAAAAGCAGGGAAGAGAAGCAGCGAAGAGTGAATAAATAAAGACGTTTATATCGAAGCTGCTCGCCTCGCATTGCTGTTATTTTTTAAAATACTTTTTACACCCCGCTACGTGGGCACAAGATACAGGAGCCTTGCCCGCGGTGGTAGCAGGCGTAGCTCCGCCCCGATAAGGGTAAATATATTTTATTTGAAAGCTGTCATATGACACAGTGTAGTGTGTTCTCTTTAAACTATTAATTTGTATTCGATTGTTCATGCTTACTTCCGCGAGTGAAGCGTGGTCCATAAAAAAAGTATAATAAGTAACAAACAGTGAATAAAGAAAGACGTTCATATAGAAGCTGCTTGTGTCGCTTTGATGTTATTTATTTATTTATTTTTTACATACTTTATACGTCCCACTACGTGGGCACAAGATACAGGAGCCTGGCGGGATGTGCAGGCGTAGCTGCGCACCGATACGGACAGTGTGGTCAAACGCGCTTCATATTTTTGTATATATATTCAGGATTTTTGTATATATATTCAGACTTTTTGTATATATATTCAAACTTTTTGTATATATATTCAGACTTTTTGTATATATATTCAAAGATTAATTTCCTGAACGGCATGCCATA